TATAATCACATTTATTGGCACCCGTACAGGATTTTTTTTTTTATTTTTCTACCTTTTTTAGAAGCTAAAATTTTAAAAATATTGTGAATGTCTCTGCTAGTTCTCACTTTCATCTCAGTTCCCTCTGCTTTCTGAGCCTGGCCTGTGACTTCAGATGGATGGGGGGAGTTTTGATAATCCTTGCTGGAGGGGGCCCCATACAATAATGCATTTTGCATCTCCATTCTATAAGATGAAAAGAGGGCCTTCCCAGGAACCCGCTCTCTGGCGTATTACTCGTGAGGATGTCTTTCTGATTGGACCAGAACTGCGCTCTTTTCAGGTTTGGTATAATGATATTTTCGATGGTTGTGTAAACTCTGAAAGTTTGATTTTTGGACGGTTACGGGGCAATTGTGTATTCTATCGAAATCTTTGTCCAGTGTCTGCCCGGGGGTGACGTGGATGAGATTTGGTTTGCTAGTGAGCGCAATGTCTTTTAAATTATATTAGTCGGTTTAATTGTAGAGCAAACTGGCTTACTTGGTGAAGAATCGAACTGTGTGCAGATTGTACAGACCCCCAGCAACCCATCTCATCTCGTCTTTTACTTATTTGACTTTGGTGACCATATATTTAGTTGGTTTCTATGGATTGCTGCACGTTGATTATATTATTGTTTCTTGAACTGTTATTGGTTGGAATTGTAATTTTATTATAGATTAGGCCTGGACTGGTATATTCTAATACAGGGGTGGACAACTTAATATTGGATTTAGGAGCCAGTCTGTCCAATCCAGGAGCCAGAAGGATCAACAACTAGAGAAGAACGTAGACACCTGCTGTATTTTTAAAGGAGCATTGGCTACCTGGCTCCTGGGATTTGTCCAGCCCTGTTCTAATAAACATTTGTATAATTACAGGACTTTGTTAGATTTGTGTTATCAGCACTACTAAGTGAGTTGTTACTTGATATGAACAGGGAACAGTTGTTTTCCATGTGCCCTGTTCACCACTTTGGTGTGCAGAAAAACGCAGCTCAACGACATGGTGTGAACAAGACCTACCAGTACCCTTCAATAAAAAGTCCTAAAGTCAATAAATTGGGGGTATCCCAATGAGGCTGAGTACACCCAATGGCCAGGAGTATGAGAACATCCCAGTTTAGGTGTTTTTATTGAAGGCTACTTTTAGGGATTGTTCACACCATGTCCGTTGAGCTGCTTTTTTCTACACATCAACATGCATGTATGGCCTGAACAGGGCACATAGAAAACAATTGTGCCCTGTTCACACCATGCATGTGCGCAGTGGTGTGCAGAAGACCGCAGCTTAAGAGCGTACAAAGACATTTTAGACAATTGTTCTCTCTGAACCTTGTGGTAACCGCTTGGAGAAGAACATTTTCTGTCTTGACTAACATGACTGTGCCCCTGTGCATAAAACCAAGTCCATATATATAATTTGGGTTTGGTGTGGATGCCTCCAAAGAGCCCCGAGTTCAACACTATTGGACACCTTTTGGGTTAAGTTTAAAGGGCAATTGTGAGATGGGTCTTCTCAACCAACATTGTTACCTGACCTCACAAATGCTCTTTTGGGCACAAGTTCCCATAGACACACTCCACAATCGTGTGGCAAGCCTTCCTAGATGAGTAAAGGCTGCTGTAGCTCAAAGGAGTTGGGGGTCATCACCTCCATACTAATGGCCATTAGTTTTAGACCGTGATGTCCAGTAAGCTCATAAAGGTGGGATGGTCAGACGTCTACAAATTTTGGCTGTATGGTAAATGGGGGTACTGTAATGCAATTGGACAAGGGGTCGACTAATTAATATTTAATTCAGGAGCCAGTTTGTCCAATCCAGGGGGCCAGCGGGAGATTTTTTTGGAGGCGGCTCCATTGACAACAACTAGATTAAAATTGAAAAGTTAGGTGCTAGCTGTCATTTTGAAGTATCATTGACTACCAGCTCCTGGGATTTGTCCGACCCTGATTTAACCAGTATGAGTATTTAGTCATTAAAGGAGAACTATGAGGTGAGTGATTTCCACTCATCCTCATAGTTCGAGCCGACCTGTGACAAAGAGCCAACGTGTGACAGTCTCAATCAGGAAGCGAGTGAACACATAACATCGCTCGCTCAGTTCCTGATCATCTCCCTGCAGAGGGCGGTGACTGTCAGTCACCGCTCCCCCCAGGGATTCCCCCCTCCCCTCTACGATCTTCCAGCGCTGACTGGAGGAACTGCCAGGGGAGGGGGCACAGCTGGCTCTGCCTCTAGCTTGACAGCGGGCTCTGCCTATCAGCCAGCTGGATGGATCTCGACAGTATGGTTGGCATCTGCTCTCTCAGTATATAGTGGGCTATAGCATGCTATATACTGAGCTTTGAGTCACGGGAGGACGTTAGAATATGTCCTCCCGTGAACCTAAAGAGAACTATGGGATAAAAAGGTTACCTCATAGTTCTCTTTTAATGGCAGCTAGAATATTTAATTCAGGAGCCAGTTTGTCCAATCCAGGGGGCCAGCGGGAGATTTTTTTGGAGGCGGCTCCATTGACAACAACTAGATTAAAATTGAAAAGTTAGGTGCTAGCTGTCATTTTGAAGTATCATTGACTACCAGCTCCTGGGATTTGTCCGACCCTGATTTAACCAGTATGAGTATTTAGTCATTAAAGGAGAACTATGAGGTGAGTGATTTCCACTCATCCTCATAGTTCGAGCCGACCTGTGACAAAGAGCCAACGTGTGACAGTCTCAATCAGGAAGCGAGTGAACACATAACATCGCTCGCTCAGTTCCTGATCATCTCCCTGCAGAGGGCGGTGACTGTCAGTCACCGCTCCCCCCAGGGATTCCCCCCT